TCCCCAGTGTCAGATCTTGAAAACCTAAAAGCCTTCATCATTCTGTAATGATTTGATTAGTTCTATAATGTGCAGTATTTATTTAATGTGCGTGAAGACGGGGACAACTCTTTGGAAGAAACTAGAGACAATTAGATAAACAGTGAAGATCTACAGTGGACTTGCTTTGAAATCTGTATTTCTTTAAATTATTTTTTTTGAACTGTTTTATTCTGTTTTGATATATTTAATCTTACCCTCTTTAAGATAAAAAACAAGTGTGTAGGACTGAAAACCATATTACTAAGTTTTTGTTAAATCATTGAGCAGAACTGTTGGTAGTGTCACTATTTGAATGTCACTTTACATACTTTAATTTTGTAACCTGAACAGCTATTTCTAAGATGACAATATGTAACTTATCAACTGGTGATTTCTTACCGTTTATTTTTCTATAATTCTGTATTATTTCTACCCTTTTTTATCTCCATGTATTTTTTTGTTTCTTTCTCTTTAAATAAAAAAAAAAAAAAAGGAATTCTTGAGATGGGAAAGATTGGTTTCCTGCTATCTCACTTTTTTTCAAATTCATTTTATTCTACTTACTTTGTCTTTTAATATAAATTTTAGAATAATTTTGTTTGTAAGAAGTCTTGCTAGGATTTTTATAAGAACTGCATATATGACAATCTATTTTCTTGTTTTCTCTCCCCTTCTGCCACTCTTGTATTCAAGTAGAATTTCACTTTCTGACTGGTAACTTAATTTTTAACATTTAAAATATTGCTGCTGGATAGCTCAGTAGTATGCTTATTAATGTTTGGGCTGTGGATTTAGCACTCCCCCATCTGTTGTTATTTATTGGTTATTTCAGTCAAGTTCATTAAGTTATCTTGCTGACTGATGTTGACTCGGAGGCCAGCAGTTTTTGTAAGCTTCCTATCATCTATACCATATGGGATCGCTCCGTGATTATTTTCTAGGAACGACTTTTAACATTTTTGTTCAAATTCTTCCTTTGCTCTGATGTCTAAGCCTTATTTTCTATTGGTTTTGTACTCCCTATTAGTTTCCAAGGCTAGATTAAGCATTTTTTTTCTATCTTAAAGGAGTTTATGATTCGTGAATGTTTTTGTGAAGCAGGAAGTTGGAAGCTGTATATACTTCTGGGCTGGCTATTTATGTGGGCCTTTATTCTTTTTTGGTACCAGGGATCGAATTCAAGAGCACACGCTTGCAAGGCAGGCACCTATGTCACTGAACAAATCCCTGTCCCTAGTCTTTCTGTTTTAAAAGTTGTTGGTATGCTTCTGAGTACCTTTTAGGATCTGAACTCTATTTCAGAGGATTGTGTTAGATGTTATATTTGCAAAGATATAAAGACCCATCCCTCAAAGACTATTCTGTGGGTGAAATGGACTTTTAAACAGTTTTATTCTTTTGAGGTTAATGTAGTAATAGACGTATTAGAACATTTTTGGAATTGAAAGGGACACTTGCCTGTTTATAGGAGGAAGAACACTGGGGAAGCCATGCTTGGACTGAATCTTGAATGATAAATAGAAGTTAATTAAGTAAAAGTGATGATAGAGGACATTTTAGGCGTTACAGAGGTATAAAAACAAGCACATGGAAGGAAATAGCATTAAAATATTTTCAGGAAGGGGAATTGCAAATAGATTGGTGCTATCAAGTATGGGAGGCAGGAACTTGTCAAATAGCCACAAAAAGATAAGCCTGGCTTGTTTTAGTGAGCTTGGACTTGTTCCTCATTGGTTCTCAAATTTGTACTGTTCAATGTGTCTTTCAAAATTATTATTATTCTTATTATTACCATTATAATTTGGTACTGAGGACTGAACTTACAACCTTGTGCTTGCCAGGCAGGGGATGTACTGCCCAGCCTAATGTGTCCTTTTTATAATAAACATTTTCCAATGCCCCTTTATTATCCTTAAGTGGAAAATTCATATATAATAAAATTAACATCTTAATTTTATTAAGAAGTTAATAAAATTAACTTCTTAATTTTAAGAAGTCAGTGATATAAATGTAGTATAAATGATAAATATAAGGAAACGAATTTGAAAGATACACTTTTAAATTTGTATTCCAGCATTATTGTGTTAGAACATACAGTGACTTACTTACATGCTTGTACCTATATGTGGAATTACTCTGAGTATATAGTAACAATTGCAAATAGGTGTTGTTTGGTAGCTCAGATATTTTTAACAGTATTGTTCCTGGTAATAAGATTTTCCAGTGTCGGGGACATAGCTCAGTGGCACAAGTGCACGCCTGACAAGTGCAAGTTACTGAGTTCAAAGTCATATGAGACAGGTCACTTTGTTCTGTGACATGTTCTGTTTTTTTTTTTGGTGCCAGGGAATTGAACTCATATTACGCGCTTGCAAGGCAGGCGCTTAGGCTGCTGAGCTAAATCCCTGGCCTGTGACATGTTCTTGAACAGGACTGACACAGCTTGCAGGCCTCAGTGCCTGTTTGTGTAAGCTAAGAATACCTTTTCATTTTCAGAGTTAAAAAAAAAAAGAAAAAGAAAAATTGCCACAAAGATTCTAAGACCTGGGCTGGGGATTTAGCTCAGCGGCATAAGCGCCTGCCTTGCAAGCAGACAGTCGTGAGTTCGATCCCTGGTACTGATAAAAAGGAAAAAGACAAAAAAAAAGATTCTAAGACCTTTGTCAGAAAATTTTCTAACCCATTTTTTGAGCTTTGTAGTGTCCATCATTCCTAGCTCCTGCTCACTAGATGCCAACACTAGTCACTGTGAACCCAAACACAGTCTCCAGCATTTATCAGGTGGAGACAGTACCGCCTCACTGTGTGTGTGTGTGTGTGTGTGTGTGTTTGTGTGATTGATTGATTGATTGATTGATTTTTGGTACGGGGAATCGAAACTCATGACCTTGTGTTTGCCAGTCAGGAACGTGTGCTGCTGAGCTAACTCCCTGGCCTGCTGCCTCATTGTGAACCCCTACTTTTATCAGTTTTCAATCTGCTGTGAAACACCTAACAGACAATACAGGCATGGTATATTTCCATGCAGTTTCTATGTTTGTAATTTTCTTTTTTACTGTACTTCCCCTTCAAGAAACAAAATGAGGGAGGAAATTGTTAATATCAGTATGCATTAAAAACCCATCAGTTTATACTTTAAAAAATAAATCTTTTGGCTGAGGGTTTAGCTCAGCCAAGTAAGTGCCTGCTTCGCAAATGTGAGGTCGTGAGTTCAAACGTCGGCACCAAAAACAAAACAAAGCAAAACAAAACAAAACTTTTTTTTTTGTCTTTTTGAGACAGAGTCTCCCTGTGCAGTTCAGGCTAGCTTTGAGCTCACTTTTGTAGCCCAGGCTGGTCTCGAATTTGCAGTGATCCTCCTGCCTCAGCCTCTAGTGCTGGAATTATAGGTGTGCGCCACCACACCCAGCTAAAAAATAAATCTTGACGGTACTACTACTTTACTAGCATTACTAGCACATCACTTGCAATTTATGTCATTTCTCATACTAGAATAATTAATAACATCCTGACTGATAATCGCTGCAGTAATAGCCATAGAATAGTTTTTTGAAGGAAATGGAGGACCCATTAACAGATCACTTTGATGGTGATATAGAAGATTGACTAGAGGGACAGCTGTGCTTGATATAGGTACAAGATACTGAGACCCTCTACCAGGTGTAGGGACAGACCAGAGAGGTTTGTCTCTATATTATTAGAGAATTATTTCAGAAGTAAAAATCAGTAAAATTCAACGATTGAAGGTTATAGACTAGTGATGGCAAGCCTTTTAGAACTTTCAGTAACATAAACAGCCCACTGTGGCATGCGTGCCATAGGTTTGCCATCGTATTAGTTGTTCCTTATGAGAATCAGAAGGTTTTTAAGCAGTGCCAATATCTGGGCTTCATGCTAGGATTTGTAGAAATCGGAATTTCTGGGGTGATGTGTGGGCACTGATATTTAAAAACATACTTCATGATTCTAATATATAGCCTCGTTAATTTTTTTTTTTTTTTTTTTTTTTTTTGCGGTGCTGGGGATTGAACTCACAACCTTGTGCTTGCCAGGCAGACACTTACACCACTGAGCTAAATCACCAGCCCTAATGTTTTTGTTTTTTAGTAGCCACTGTTGAAAACAATTGATTCAGGTTTGGAGGTAGAGGTAACAATCAAGGATGAGTACCAAGCTGTCAATTTAGGCTACCAGTAAATAGAGGTACTTCGAGCATATGTATCATGGTAGCTATTTCAAATATTTCTTCAATTAAATGAATATTGATGAATTTAATTTCCAACTAAAATCAGTTCTTCAATTAAATTGATTTCAATTCCAAATATTGACTGTAACCCAACCAAAATAACATATCACAGGTGAAATTATATCTAAATATATATTTCTTGATACAGTTTGAAGAGGGACACGGATCACCTGAGTTGTTTCATAATACTTGAAGCAAAGTGCCAGTGGAAGTAATTTAGCTTAATTACAGTGTATTATATAAATTAATATTTCTATTGAGTAGCATAGCCAGTGGTTTGGGGTTCAGATGTCTGACAACTGGACAGATTAATTTGGTGCATGTTTATTGGGAAAAAAAGAAAGCCAGGCATGGTGGCTCATGTTTGTAATCCCAGCACTTGGGAGGCTGAGGCAGGAGGATTGCTGTGAGTTCAAGGCCAACCTTGGCTACAAAGTAAGTTCAAGGCCAGCCTGAACTGAATAATGAAATTCTGTCTCAAAAAGAAAAAAGAAAAAAATGTTGCAGTTATTGGTACAGTATTTGAATTTTTAACAGTAGCCTTTTAGTTTTTGCAAAAGGAGTCTTTTTGTATTTACATTGTATACATTATTTATTCTCATTACTGTTGCTTGACCCTTTTTGGAAGTGTATTTAGTGATTAAGAATCACTCAAAATATGGTCTGTAGTTTTTGTTTCAGTATCTACAAAATTAAATTTGTTTTTGTTGTTGCTTTTCTGTCATGTTTGTAGTCGATTGCATCTGCAGACATGGATTTCAATCAGTTGGAGGCCTTTTTAACTGCTCAAACCAAAAAGCAAGGTGGGATCACATCTGACCAAGCTGCTGTTATTTCCAAGTTCTGGAAAAGCCACAAGACAAAAATCCGAGAGAGCCTTGTGAACCAAAGCCGTTGGGAGAATGAACTTCGGGGCTTGAGCTGGAGAGTTGATGGCAGGTCTCAGTCAAGGCACTCAGCTCAAATACAAACACCTGTTGCCATAATAGAGCTAGAATTCGGGAAACATGGACAGGTGAGTTCAACTTCACTTTCTTCTGTAAACTGTACTTTCTATTACATAGTAGTCCATACATCTGGATTTATTTTTTTTATGTAACAGTCTTCTTTGTAGAGATAATAAAGAATAACAGGCAAAGAACTTGTTTCTTAGAATCCTTTTTCAGAGGTCGAATCATCCAATAACTTAGATATTCCCAATTATGGGAATATAGTCTAGAAACCAGCCGTAGGGTCCTTACAGTCTCAGAACAACAAAATTGGCCAATAAAGTGATTTCATAGCAGTTGGCGCCTATATTTTTCTGGATCTCAAAATCCTTTTTATTTGATTAGATTCTTCACAGCAATGATAGAGGTATTAAATAAAGAACAAAAATGAGATTAGGTTTTTCAGCTTTGGTAGTTAGGAAGAAATAATGTTTTTGGATTCCATTGCAAAGAGCTATTGAAAACAGAAGAAAGGAGTAGAGCTAAATATGTAATTGAGAAAATGTCTCTTTTAGAATGAGAGATGTGATGGTAGTTACTATTGTCTTCCCTAATTTGGAACTTGAGGACCTAAAGAGCCTTTATCATCCTGTAATGATTTGATTAGTTCTATAATATGCAATAAGTATATAAAGTGGGTGAAGATAGGGACAACTATTTGTAAGAGACTAGAGACAGATAGACGATGAAGATCTCCAGTGGACTTGCTTTGAAATCTGTATTTCTTTAAATTGTTTTTTTTAAATGTTCTGTTCTGTTTTGATATGTTTAATCTTACCCTCTTTGAGATGTAAAACAAATGTGTAGGACTGATAACCATATTACTGAGCTTTTGTTCGATCATGGAGCAGAACGGTTTGTAGTGTCACTTTTTGAATGTCATTCTAAATACTTTAATTCTATAACCTGGACGGCTATTTCTGAGATGACAATGTGTAACTTATCAACCAGAAATTTCTTACCGTTTGTTTTTCTGTAATTTTGTATTATTTCTACCCTTTTTTTTATCTCCATGTATTTTTTGTTTCCTTTTCTTTAAATAAAAAAAAAAAGAGAGAGAAAATGTCTTTTTGATACTGATGTGCCAGACTATAGCAATCTACTGATCTATAAAAATTTAGCAAATTATTATTATTATTATTGTTGTTATTGTTATTTTTTGAGTCAAGGTCTCACTGTGGAGTCCAGGCTAGCCTTGAACTCACTATGTATCCTAGGCAAGTCTTGAACTCATAATGATCCTTTCAACCTCCCAACTGCTGGTATTAGAGATATGTACCACCATGCTCAGCAGTTTGTGACTTCTTAAAATTTCTTTTTTTATCGGTACCAGGGATCGAACTCACGACTGCCTGCTTGCAAGGCAGGCGCTTATGCTGCTGAGCTAAATCCCCAGCTCCTTACTTCTTAAAATTTCAATGATAAAGAAAAAATTTTGTGGGGCTGGGGATTTAGCTCAGCGGCATAAGCGCCTGCCTTGCAAGCAGGCAGTCGTGAGTTCGATCCCCGGTACCGATAAAAATGAAAAAGACCAAAAAAAAAAAAAAAAAAAAACAAAAAAAAAACAAAAAAAAATTTTGTAAGTATCTAGACAGAAAGCTCGTTACTGATAAAGGGACAAAAGTCAAACTGACCTCAGATTTTTCTCTTAAAATTCTAAATGCCAAAATACATTGTAACAATACCTGTAGAATTTTAAGGGAAAATAATTTTGAACCAAGAATTATATATACCACTAACTTAATATTTGTATATAAAGGCAACTAGAAGACATTCTCAGATCCGAGGGGTTAAAGTATGTAGACCAAGCCCCTTCTCTGAAAATTTTGTTGAATGACTTACAGTAATCAGCAGAAAAACAGAGTAGGAAGGGAGCTAGTTGTGTGGAAGATCAGATGGTTAAGAAAATGGTGTCCAAAATTGTTACATATAGGATAATAAACCTAAACACAAAAAAGATTTGTAAGCTGGGTCAAAAATTTTCTATTAATGAAGTTGTAAACTGTCAAAGTACATACCAAATATTTGGTATAAATAATTACTGTTTTATTTTTACCATGTAGTATTATAAAGATGGATGTTGTGAAGCTATATGTGTATTAGATGAAAGTGTTTTGTTACTGTGGGCAGATCAAATACAGGAAAGACATTCTAAATGCTCACTGACAAAATTTGAAAATGTTATGATTTTATTTATTTTTTATTTTTAGTACCAGAGATCGAACTCATGATCACACGCTTGCAAGGCAGGCACTTATGCCGCTGAGCTAAATCCCTAGCCCCCAGAATGTTACAATTTTAGTTCTTTTTAAAAAAAACTAACAAGTCCATAATTCTAATACTAATAATGTAAGGAGAAAATTTCCAAAGCAGTAATCGGAGAGGGATAAATATGTTTGACATATTGATTGGGAAAACCAGTAATTACTGCATCAGACAGTAGTTTGTATTAATCTGTTTGTCATTAAATTATGGACAAAAACAAGTTGTACAGATTCCAAGTTTTGGGGATGGAAAACAGATGAAACTCAAGAAAAAGCAGAAAAATAAAAATACTAAAGCAATGTTAAAATTTGTGTAAAAGATATTGACAGCGGTGAATTATACTCATAAGTCAGTTGAGTTTCCAATTAATGAGATCCGAATTGAGTAAAAAAAAAATCAATCTCTGATTTGATATACTCACATTTGTATAAAACAAAGGTAAAAGGAATTTAAAGATAATAGAAACTCTGGGTCATAGAAGTGGAGAGTAACATTTTTATTAGGCAGAAATAAGAGTGTTATTAGAAATTTCCCATTGAAGAGATTTTGTGATACTCATATGCAAGATTTTTGTTTAAAAAGTATCCTTATATGGATGGTAGTTTTATTGCTATAAACTGATACACATACATATATTTTAAAACTTTCAGAATTAGTAATTTTACCTACTCAATATTCACTAAGTAGTTCTTCAATTAAAGAGAATACCGGTAGCAAAAAAAGTGAGATTAAACAACACAGAACAAAACTTATTACTATTAAATGAAGAATAAGAATTGAAATAAAACAACACAAAACTATCTTACTCTGTTGTCTTTAAAATCAGCTTTAATTAGTCTTTAATTAGGAGGCATCCTAATTAAAGTATCCTTCCTAAAAACCAGTGTACTGTAATGCCAGCTGTGTTGGGCATTATCTAAGAGTTTGGGATACATCAGTGAACAGTATAGACAAGTTCTTATCTTATGGAGCTCATGGTGAAAGAAGTAATAATGTAAGAAATTATTGTGAATCTTGCAGTCACAAATCATTCTTAGTTTGATGTTGATTTTTCACAAAACAGCAGTTTTTCTTGCAATTTCCACAATCATTATAGCAGATTAATTTTGGTGTCTGCATGGTTTTCTTGAAGGCATTCGGTTTGTGTTCCAGATGCCTGCCAAATCATATTTTTAGTGACGTGGCTTATATTTGTGGGTCAGGGAGAGGGAGAGGAAACTGATAATTTAGAAGAGAATACCCAGATGACTGTATTAACTAATCAGATTTATTTTTAGATAAATAATCAAATAAGTGCTCCTCTTACATCCTGTAGTACGAATTTGTTTCTGTTCTTAATGACAAGTGAATTTTTTTATCTGGTAAGTTTTGTCACATACACTCCTCCTTGATTTCTTTGGATCTTTTCAATGTTTGTAATTCTAACTTTACTTTTAATTTTAAAAAGAATTCATTTTAAAAATTGTTCATAAAAGTAAAAAAAATTCTTTATAAAAAGAGTTTAGAGCACCTATTCAATTAATGTAAAATAGTGCTAATTGTACTTCCTGAGTTCGGTTTGTCTGATCTTAGAAGTTCATTCTGTTAATCATTTATGCTATATCGTTCCTAATGAGTAGACTTACTAGGATATCTAAGTTTGGATATCTGGGTTTCATTGATCATTTGTATAGGTTATTCACTTTTTATTCTGACAGTAGTGATTATAGTCATCTCTTAGCATCTGTGGGGGAATTAGTTCCAGGTCATCCCTACCCTCTGCATGGATACCAAAGTCTAAGGATGCTCAAGACCCTTATATAAATGTGTAGTATTTGCATATAACCTACATACATCCTGCTACATATTTTAAATCATTTCTAGGTTATCTATAATACTTAACATAGTGCAGATCCTGTGGAAATAGTTACTATACTGTATTGTTAGGGAATAATGATATGATCAAGCCTGTATATGTTTAATACAGAAGGATTTTTTTTTCTGAATATTTTTGCTTTTTTTATTTTTATTTTTTTGAGATAAGGTCTTGCTATGTAGTCCAGGCTAGCCTTGAACTCACTATGTAGCGCAGGCTTGCCTTGAACTTGGAGCAAGTCCTTCTGCCTCAGCCTCCTGAGTGCTGAGATTACAGGTGTACGCTACCGTATCTGGCCATTTCTGAACATTTTTAATCTATGGTTTGTTGAATTCTCAGATATATAACCTATGGATAAGGAAGACTGATTTCAATTTGTCTTTAAGTATTTAATATTTGGGCATAAATGTAAAAGCATATATATCTATTTTAAGACTACTACAAATTTATAATATTTTCTTAATCCAGCATTTTTGTAATATTTCTTGAAGTGAGATTAAAATGTGCCTTCTGATGTTAGTAATTTATAAACCATCTGAATTAATTATTACAACCAGGATTTACTTATAGTGTTTGTTTATTTATTTAGTTGTTTGAGATTGAACCCAAGGCTACATGTATTGCTATGCAAGTGCTCTATAATTGAGTTATATTCCTGGTCCATTTTTTTCCTTCTTGTCACTTATTTTTATTTTACTTACTGGTCTTGTCTGTGTACTACATTAACATGCAAGAAAAGAATTTTCGCTGATTTTTTTCATTATTGTATTCTCAAAGTGTAGGAGAGCCAAACCAATGACACACATGCTGCTGTAGGCTGTTTGTAGTATTGAAAGCTCTAAAGGTTCATCATGATTGGTTTACAATGATGCGATGCCTGGTATATCTTTTTTTTTTTCCAATTTT